TGGTACTCACCAATGTCGATACCAGATTTAGGGTTGTGTAATGTCTAAAAAACAATATGCAATATTTTAATTCAAATGTATCAAGAAAAAAAACGACGAGGCTGAAATCCCACCCCACATGGCTTAATTTATTTATTCACATGTTGTGGGGAGTATAAAACCATCTATGTTGTTCACAAGCTTTTACTGTGTACCACAATTCCGTTACGATATTACGAGAATATTGGATAAGAGCTTCTGTTATTTTCACTGCACTATGGTTATTTTCTCTCTCCACACCTATAGTGTTTAATGCATGATAACTTGTTGCAGTGCTGCTGGACGTAATTTTGTCGTACTCTTTCTTGATTAGTTTTCACATGTTTAATTACTTATGTTTTAACTTCTTTCATACCTCATCTTGATATTTTAGCAGAGCAGTTTTAGTCCGCTACGGTTTGGTTTTTTGGTTTTAAGTACTTTCACATTGCAGACATTTTGTGGCTCCAATTTTTTGCCCGTAATGATATCGCCGATACGTCATAGGTATATGGCACATTGTGACAAGGATGAGTATGAGTAAGTGAGCACTGTATCAGACCCAATACCTATACTAGTATTCCTATCGATGCACCCGTAGTTATACTACATAAAACCAGCATAAGGTAACTTAAATCCAGTCTCCCACAACAGCACCTACTGGTGCTTTTCCACTGCTAGAAAGACCCGCGCATTGGTGGCTTTCCATTGCAAAGAACCGATTTGTAACCATGCTGATAGCTTGACCAAACCGAGCTGGTTGCGTCACCACCATATGATTGGTCAAAAAGCAGAGATATTTGTGTTCTGTGCATGGATTATCTTAAGGAAAAAAACATTCTATATATTATTCAATATAAGTGTGGTACATTGCGATATACCGGGGCATTCCGTTAACTCGTAATTTGACCATTTCCAACCTCCTACTTAAAAAAAATACTATAAAACAGCTGAACGGAATGGATTCATAGTGCAAATTTACACAAGCGAATGATAATTCGCTAGCGATTGACGCTAACATGGTGATTCTCACAGAAAATTAAGTCATGATGAAAAGAAATCATGATGTACAACTTATGAGCTGGAAATAAGTCTCTCATCAGTTTTATGCCACTGTCGGTCTCCAAACCTGATAACGCCTTTACCGACCCTTCTGAAATGCAGAATCCAAGCCAGCTGGAACCGCACGGTAACAAGTCTCTTTGCAGTACGGCTGGGTTATTGTATGCCAGTGGAAAAACGCCATAAAACAATCACAGTAGCATTAGTTTTCTGTGACGTTTATGCGTATTAAAATACATTTTCAGTGAATCATCGATAGCTGGAATGAATGCCCTGCTTTATCGAAAAGGACTGATTTTTGGTTGTCTTGCAAATCAGGAAGTAACAAACCACAAAGCATGTTTATTTTAAAGAAATAAATAAAAAAAAATACAGATTCATATCTACAACTCTCAGCAGGCCTACCCCTATAAGAAATGCACTATTCTTGAAGGGCTGCCATTATATCATGTGGGGAAAATTTCTCGCAGTTTCTTCATTCCAAGAAAAGGATACCCACTCATGTAGTCTGCTTTTTAAAATATTGTAATGTCCGCTTTTGTATGAAAATCAGAATACGCATGGGAAACGGTGTACTTACCACCAATGGAAGCTAAAGTGAATTTCACATAGTAGCATCAGCCACTTCATTAGCAATATTGTAGCCTAGCACCATAAGTCACAACAGTAATCAATACTCAAAGTCCCTAAAATGTACCTGTAATTCAAAAACAGATCTGATAGAAGAAGCTGGAAAAACCTGGACATCCCCCATCCATCCCCTTTTATTAAAAGGTCGTATGGGGGATCTTTTAATCACAACTCTTATAAAACGTAAAATATCCCAACATGCTGGAACAATCTGCATTTAATAGGGAGCTGCAAATACACTGAACATATATCTTTAGTATTCTTTTCCTCCTCTTCATTCAATATCCTGTCACCAGAAGCACGACTTGGTGCACAGGTATGGCCATGACATTAGGAGTGTGATACTCCATGGCCATTAGTTTGCAGACGGCTTCTCAAATGGTACAGCTCCCTAACTATTAACTATCCATCCATGCATCTTCACACCACTCTTCCTGGTGAGGGTCACGACGACAGCACTCTGAGCTAGACTTCTTTCCACGGCCCCAGATTCTAGCTCCTCCTGGAGATCTTCAGACATTTCCAAGGCCACCGAAAGATAAAATTCCTCCGCTATTTCCTGGGCCTACCACAGGGACTCTACCCAGTGGGATGTGATTGCAACAGACCCCTTCGGAGCCACCCATGTGCCATCTTTAGGAAATGCCCAAATGACTGCAGCTGACTCCTCCTGAACTGAAGGGGCAGTGTCTCTATTTCAAGGTCCCTCCAGGTCTCCAAAATCCTCACTGTTACTCACAATGAGCCTGGCAACCCTGGCAAGTAACCTTATTTTGGCTGCTTATAGTCATGACCTTGTTCTTTCAGTCAGTACCCACAGCCCAAGACTAAAGGTGAAAATAAGGACATAAAATTGCTGGTAAACTGTGAGCCTTGTCTGATGATTTGCTCCCACTTTGCTGCCATGGACCTAAGCGGCCCGAAAAAATTAGCATCATTGTATGTGTGTCATGTTCCCTCAAGATCCCCAGGCATTTAGACCCCACCACTAAGGACAGACTCTCCTCTTTGAAATAAATTGCAAACTTATTGTGCTGGAGGGCTTTATGTAAAAATGCCAAAACAAAAAATGCCAGCCTGAAGATTAAGTGTCAAAAGAAGGTCTCAGGTTTTACTGTTGTAAAGAGGGGAAAGATTAGTTTGTGTCTGATGTTTTAAGATCAACAATGTATCCTGTTTGAAGACAAGCGTATATAGAAGGTTCTTGCAGGTTTCAGTAAGTTAAATTTAAGACCTTTTTAAAACCTTTTAAAACCATTATGAGTAAAATTTAAGACCAACACGATGCATTAATAGAAACATTCGAATGATACAAGAAATTCTCATATATTTTATGTCACTCATATCCTTAGCCCAACATCCACATGTCATATGTGTTTACAAAGTGCGTTTTAATAAGTTCACATGTGTTTAAAGCATGTGGGAGGGGTATTTTAAGGCTTAAACTATAAAAAACTTTATGTATACGGTCTTTCTATATCGCAGATTTTCACCTATCGCTGATGGGTCTGGAACGTAAGTTCCCTGATAGGCAGGGGATCCAGACCCATCAGCCATAGGTGAAAATCTGCGATATAGAAAGACCGTATACATAAAATTTTTCATAGTTTAAGCCTTAAAGTATATAGTGATCCCCCGCCTATCGCGGAAGTTACATTCCAGACCCATCAGCGATAATGAAAACAACTGGAAACAGCTGATAAACACGGGGAATCCACACGGGGTTAATGAGGGGGCGTGGCACACGGGAGGAGCGGACGAGCGGGGCAGGACATACTGCACTTTTAATCAGATTTTTTAGATTTTCTAAGCAATTTTTATTCAAATAAGTTTTTTCCCCATCTCTATTTTGTTTTTTTTGTCTTGGTTTAACTTTTTAAAATCTTGTTTTTATAAAGCACATTAAATAACCCCTGTGTATGATAATAAAAACTTGCCTTGCCCTACCATAAGGAGACCGAGAAACGTTCTCCTCAAGACCACATGAACAACTAAAAACTATATGCTGGAAACTAAGACATTCACAAGGTAACTCCATGAAAATCTCTGTAAAAGTAGAAATGTGTCTATTTTATGATAAGATAACATGAGCCAACTGGCTAGTAGTTGCCTTTTAACTGAAAAAATTCACTCCAGTCAGAGAAAAAAGTTAGTAATGCACTACATCAAAACATTTACATTGCAATAATGTATGGCATGAAATAAACTTGTAACTATATCATTCAGTAATACAAATAATAAAACAACATACCATTCACATTGGCCTCAAGAACTAAGTTAGCGCTTGATTCCCCTGCACTTCCTGTTGTGGCTGAGCGTGCACCTGACGTCAGTGGCTGAACGTGCACGTTCTGCAGCCAGACCCTTCTCAAACTGCCTAGCTGCAGTGATTACGCAATGGGATTTGTAGTTTTATTACCACGCAGACACCGGTGCAGACCAGAAAACACAACCAATGGATTAGTTTTACAGCATTTTACTGTCATTTTCTGCGGACAACACTTTTTGGGAATGAACGGAGGTAAGAATTTTAAGACTTGGATAAATTAAATTTAAGACCTAGGATGAAAATCTGGGCATTTTTAAGACATTTTAAGGCCTTAAATTGAACTTTCTGAATTTTAGACTTAAGACTCCGCGGGAACCCTGTATATAATTCTACCCGCATATGTATGTCTTTGCGTATGCTGGAGGCTAATCGAGCGCCTCCAAGGAAAAGCTTAAAACACTGACACATCTATGCAAGCATTCACCACCCAGATGCAGGATGAAAACCAAACCCGTGTAACTAGTACCTGTAGGTTCCTTCACTTCATGAGGCGAGACGAGTAAACAATTAACTGGAGAGCTTAGCTTGTGCATCTCAGACTATTTAAAGGGTGAGTTTTGGCGCAGTTTCCATCACTAGGGTCACTGGTCAAATACTGGAGGAAAAATGTGCTTCAAGAAACATTTGAAAACACTTGGGGGGGGAAAAAAAACAAACAGTAGCTGGAGTCATCTCATAGCCCAGCTGGCAGCTGCCAGTATGGAGATGTTCCAGAGGCAGGGGGAGCTTCAACTAATCCAGCTCTGCTAGGGGCACACCTGCAATTTCTTTTTGATGGTGCCCAGCACAGTAATACCAATTAAGTGTATGAACTAGAAATATGGATGAGTACAACTGCTATCTTGTCCTCAACTGCTATTTAAGTGTAAGAGCATTAAGCTTATTTAGCAGCTTAAGATAACGATTTTCGGAAGTAACAATGAGTGGATCAAGTGCTTTGTTTAAGTGTGTTCAAACTGACCTGGTTGGAATACAGCTCTTTCCATCTGGTCCTTTACGCTCCACTTTACTCCTCTTTTCATCTCCAAGGCATGTCTTCTGTTAAACACACAAAACAGAAACCGTACAAGGAAACGCAGTGAGTTACAGTACTAATGATGGTCCACGTTTTTGCTCTCTCCCAGCTCCCCGCCAGACAGTCCACGTTTTTGCTCCCTCCCAGCTCCCCGCCAGACAGTCCACGTTTTTGCTCCCTCCCAGCTCCCCGCCAGACAGTCCACGTTTTTTTCAAAAACGTAGACTGTCTTGGTGGTCCCTGAGGATCAGGTTTGGAAATACTGGTCTAAGCATGTACTACTAAATAGACTCTTAACAATGTGAATTTATTCTTCAGTTTTGATCCATGACCCATATACTATCTACTTCCAGTACTGATGGGCAGCTATCACACCCATCCCCCCACACCAAAAGAGGTCTTCACAGTCCTCCAGTCAGGGGTGGCTGGTTCTCCTCAGAGCACACTGCACCAGTGTGAGAAACGTTCAACACACTTACACCCAAACAGACACAGTCTACCTGGTGTATCAGTATTAGCATGGCAGACTCATCACTGGAGGACAGACAGGAAGAAACAGGGCTGGACAGAGGAGGCCAAGTCCATCTTACCTTGCGTTGTTGCACACCTCCAGCATCACGCTCTTCCAACTGCTCCCCTCTTCTCTTGCGGCAAGGATTTCTGGGAGTGGCTGTGGAGCCTTCAGCTTGGGAGTCTGCCTTAGAGTCTTGCTTGGCTCCGTCATGCTAAGGGTAAGATGGAGTGGAGGGTTAACCATCACTGCACAGAGAGAACCCTTTTGCAGGGGATATGTTAGCTGGTGTGTCCGCACCTCAACACCACAGTATCAGGTATACTGACTGTCAATCACTCACCTTCTTGTCACCGGATCTGGAGCTGGATTGGTCTCTTGATGAAGCAGAGGACCCCGAGGAATGTGAGGAAGAAGATTCGGAATCCGAGTCAGAGGATGAGGAGTCACTAGAGGGGGAGGAGTGCCTGTCTCTTTCTGGCTCTGCATCGCCCTCCTCTGGTGGGGGTGAGGGGGGCAGCACAGGGCCCATGGGTGCTTCGACAGCAGCCCCCTTCCACATTTTGCCCTCCTCTACCACCTTGGCTGTCCTGGTATCTGCTTGCCCAGCACTACTTCCTGGCCCCTTCTCCCTGTCAGTGGTCTCGCTCTGTGAACAGACAGCTGGTGCTTCTGCTGACTGGGGTTTTAAGATAGCCCCTGCCTCACCAGAAGGACTTATGGATCCGTCATGGGTGCCATCTTTATCTTGGTCAGCGGCAGGAGGGGAGGGCAGTTGCTGGGCCGGCTGCTGCTCCGGAGGCTCATCCGAAGATGGGCGAGGCTGCCTGGCAGAGGGCGCCGCAGAAGCAGGCATACACGACACTGGCACGCTTCGCAGAAAACGGAGCTTCTTGGAGGGGGGCTGTGTGGGCAGGGCCGAGGTCGGCTGACTCTCCAGAGGCTCAGCGGGTTTCCCAGGTGCAGAGGGCTCTCCTAAGTGCTCTTGCTTAGGTTCTCCCTTTCCCTCCCCCTCAGGCTTTCCCCGTTTCACTGCCACTACATCCTTCCCAAAGTCCTCCGTGGGTCTGGATGGCTCTCCTCCATCACTTTGTCTATCACCAGTGGTCTTAATGTCGGCTGCTTCAGCAGGTGGGAACAGCGATTCTCCAATCGCTACAACCTGGGCAGGTGAGCCAACAGAACTAGGCTCCAAAGCGGTCGCGCCATTCCCACTTTGAAGCACAGGGTCTCCTGTAGGGGGCAGCAGAGGTAGACCTGCATTGGTGCTGTGGCTGTCGGCACACACGGTAGTTGGTGAGGCAGCAGCCGCAGAGGTGGGTACAGAGCCCTGCCCTTCAGCTTCTGAGTGGCTTTGACCTCGCGTCCCAGCAAAAGCTCCCTCGGACTCCATTTTGCGGGCCAGCAGGGTGAGTGGGCCGGGTCGGCACTGGTGGGGGGACTCGGGACTGCTGGGGGGAGAGCTGCTGGAGCCGGAGCTGCTGTCCTGGTGCTGCAGGGCAGAGGGTGGGGCTGCCATCGCCTCTGCCGCCCCCCCACCTTCAGGCTCATTGGGGGGGCTCTGCTTGGGGGTGTCTGGCAGAGGGAAAGAGAGCTCCGGAGGTGGGGAGGGAGGTGGGGTGGGCTGGCGGAGCTGCAGCGGGGGTTGGTGGGGCGGTTGTGGTGGGGGGATGTGCTGTGGTGGCTGCTGCTTGCGCCGGGACCTTTCCCGCTGGGGAGGCAGGCTGCTGGGGGCCGGGCTCTGCTTGGGACCACGCCTTGCAGCCCCGACGCCCCACTCCTCATCGGCATCACTCTTCTCATCATCCTCACTATCATCCTGGTTAAGAGTGGAGCGTCCGAGCTGTGGCGTGGACGCGGAGGCGGCGCTGGCCAGGCCCTCCCGCTCAGGCTCCCCGACGACGCGCACAGACAGCGAGGCAACGGCGCGAGATGGCCCGTCGCGGCTCAGCCGGGCACTGGAGGAGCGCCGGGCCCTGCCCCCAGCCTCAAGGGCTTCCTGGGAGCCGAAGGCAGAAGGGGCTTCCGTCTGTTTAGCCTGAGCCGGCTGGATCAGCGAGCGACGGGTACTGGGACGCGGGAGCACAGCCGGGGGCATGGCACCTTCCACCTCCTCTCTGCCTTGGACAGGGGTTGGCTCCAGTTCACCTCCCCCTCCGTCCTCCTCCTGGCTGAACAGGGCACCCGACGGCAAGGAGGGCTGTCAAACCAGAGGAAACAGGAGTGAGGTCCTGCAGCACATTAAATCTGACGCTCAGCGGGTCACATTTATGTGACTAAAGAAATCAAGTTTCACTGGATAATAAAGTGACTGGCAGATGTTATACTTGCCATCCTAATTTCAAGTCAGTCAAGAACAAATCAACAAAGCAGCACAATTAATGATATCATTTCAAAGGGACACTGGTAATGCTGTGATTGGCTGGAGCTTTTCTTCACAAGGTGGCTCACCTCCACCGAACAGGAAGTGAGGTTGCTCTCCTCTTGATCCTCCTTTGGAGCTGCTTGACTGTCCGTCTCTGCAGGAGGGTGAAAGGTCAGAGGATGCAGAAGATATGACCTTAAGATGACCTATGACCAACTACAAAAACAGGGCATATGCGCCGAGTCTGACTGGGTCGATAACCAAAGGCTTGATTAATGGAAGCATGTTGGATGTTCTCCTCAGAGCACACTGCACCAGTGTGAGAAGGCAACTTCAACTCACTTACACCCAGACAGACACATAGTCCATCTGGTGCATCGGTATTAGCATGGCAGACTCATCACTGGAGAAAATTCTCTTTACTAATTGAATCTCCCTCTATAACTATCCATCCATCCATTTTCCAACCCGCTTATCCGACTGGGTCGCGGGGGGTCCGGAGCCTATCCCGGAAGCAACGGGCACGAGGCAGGGAACAACCCAGGACAGGGGGCCAGCCTATCGCAGGGCACACTCACACACCATTCACTCACACATTCACACCTATGGGCAATTTAGGAACTCCAATCAGCCTCAGCATGTCTTTGGACTGTGGGGGGAAACCGGAGTATCCGGAGGAAACCCCACGACGACACGGGGAGAACATGCAAACTCCACACACACGACCCAGGCGGAGACTCGAACCCGGGTCCCAGAGGCCCTCTATAACTAAAGGTGACCAATATCAAAAACCACACATACCATCTCCTAAAACACGGCTGCCCAACACAGAAAACCAGGTCCTTCTGCAGAATCTCAGTATGAGAGCCAGCTATGCTTAGATGCTACTGAAGGGCCTGATTATCTGTATACGGTGTGTTAAATTAGGGCTGCAGGGTGGTAGATCTCCAGAAGCAGGGCTGGGAAGCCCTGTTCTAAAATATTAAGGCTATTCTAATCATTCTAAGCTTGTGAAAACAATGAAATGTATTCATTTATTCATGTATTCAGCTATACAACATAGAATACAACAATTTATATACAGACGCTCCTCTACTTACGAACCTTCAACTTACGAACTTTGACATACAATCGAAAAGGATTGTAAGTCCAAAACGAAATCCTTCGGCTCCCACTTCCTGTCCGCAACATTATTTTTTTTTTCTGAGCGCCAATTCCGCCTAGTATGATTTCTGGCTGCTACTCCCATCACGCAGTAGCATAGCGTACGTACTTCCAGCATCCTAGTTCTTTGTACTTGCATATATTATTAAAATGATGTTGAATAACAACTTATGAACATTTCAAGTTACGAACGGCTGTTCAGAATATAACTCATTCACAAGTAGAGGAGCGTCTGTAATACCTTAAAGACAGCCATGCTGTTTAGCACCCAAATAATTTTGCTAATAAATCGTATATTATAGGGGATGACCCTATGGCTAGACACAAGAGTACAAGAACCAATAAGCAAAACAGCAAGCAATGCGGCAGAGACCAGCAACAACAGAAAGGGTGCTTTTCCACTGCACTAGTTATGGTACTTTTGGTACTTGAGAAAAGTACCTAAAGTATGGTATTCATGGTGTTGGTTTTGCACTGGTGTAAAGACTGGTACCAGCACTGAACATCACAACACAAGGTAAGAATTTTGTACTGAATTTGAAAAATGGCTAGTATATTACAGGACTGGATGATGAGCGATATTAATACCAACATTGCATGTTATGCACATGCAATTCTTATACACCACAAGAAACGCGATAGCTAGGTTAAGATCTGGCTCTTTTATGCCTTCATACTGTATGGGCATTATAAACATTTTTACTCTTCCATAGAAGAAAAGGGAGAGAGGGAAAAAAACTTAGTTATACACTTATTGTAGTTTTAGTGATTATTCCTTTTCAAGATTATCTAGCATGTTTCAAAAATAAATTTTAAAGTTTAGCTCCGCTACTTTTGCATAAATACTGCATGCATTCTCTGAGAATCATGATCAGTTTAATCCTTGCCATTTAAATCACTCCTAAACGGCTTTCTGAGAAATTTATTTTGAACTTATTTTTTTGCTTTTAAAATAACACAAATTATGACAAAATCATGATATTTGGAAATTGCAGCTATAGCATGTTATACAAAATATTTTTTATTTCTTGTCATGCCATCCCGATCTTCTTGTATGTGTTCTTCCAAACGGATCACAATTAAAACTTGGGTCTCTTCATTTGTCCACACTACTATTACTTTTTTTTTCTTAGTTTATCATTGCCTTCTGAAACTATTTTCAAGACAGTGGTTTTATTGTGTTTCAGAGGCAGGCTATTTGCATAACCAATCGACAAAGAAAGCGCGTGCAAGTCCTACCCCAAAGTACGAAAAATGTACCCCAGTTAGTTTGATACTTTTAGTACTGGTTTTCAAGCAAAAGTCAATGGAAAAGTACCAAAAGTTCCTTAATGAAAGTACCGTGCCAAATGTACGGTACCTGGCTCAGTGGAAAAGCGCCCAAAGTGGATTAGCACAGCAGGCAGCGCAGATACAAAGGAGGCAACAAGACGCTGGGTAGGAGCACCGTAAATAGGAGAAAAGGGGCGTACTTGGCTTCTCACCGTTGGCTTCGGCCGCCTCCCTGGCCTCCCGCTCCAGTCGTTGCCTGAGAAGCTCCTGTTGTTTGGCCAGGTACTGCTTTATGAAGCTGTTCTGGCTCATCTCTTCCCCGATCTGTGACACATATGGTGTGTGAAGCAACAAAGAACTATAAATCTTAGGCTTCTGCTTCATAGCAAAGCAAACCTGCTTCTGAATCAGTAGCCAAAACTTGAGGTGCAAAATCAGAATAATCACAAGCATAACTCACATGGATAACTGCCTTTATATACAAGTAGCTCATAAGTTGAAGGTAAGTTCATATAATGGGTAGAAAAAAAATATGCATGGTTTGCATAAGCAAAACCAATACACAGTGGGGATCTCACCTGAGAATTGGGCTGCAGCCCAATGTGAGGGGTAGAGGTTCTCTGCAAATTCTCCAGCATGAGAGCCTGAAACAAGAAAGATTAGCAGATTAGCCTAAGACACATACCCCCACCAAGATCCAGACACGCACATCTTACAAATGCAACATGTCCACATGGCTTACCATGAACCGTGCGATGCACACTGCCAGGGCCATGTGGAATACAAAGCAAAAGCAGGTATGGTGTACTGTATCTTAGGTTCTCCTCAGAGCACACTGCACCAGTGTGAGAAGGCAAGTTCAACTCACTTACACCCAGACAGACACACGGTCCATCTGGTGTATCGGTATTAGCATGGCAGACTCATCACTGGAGAAGATTCTCTTTACAGACTTGACCTTCCTCTGTACATAAAGGTGACCAATATCAACTAATCACCACAAATATTAAGACAATTCTAAGGTTTCTAAGATCACTGAAATGGATTAATTTAAAAGCTGTGGATTCACCCACCACGTCCACAAGCCTTCTGTCAACACACAGAAATTCCAATACCAACAAAATAAAAGGAATTCTATCGTTACTGCGGTAAAACTCATTGTAATCAACAAATCACTTATTACCCCTTCCAATCGCATTAAAGCGTTACAATGTATTGTATGAATCAGGCAAGTTCAAAGTACAGACGCTCCTCTACTTACGGAGTTACTTCCAAACGGCCGTTAGTAACTTAAAATGTAGTTATTCAGCATCATTTTAAGGGTATACATAAATACAAAGAACTAAGGCTGGGAGCACACATACTACGTTGTATGGTGTGAGTAGCAGTCAGAAGTCGTACTAAGCAGAATTAGCGCGCAGACAAAAAATTGATGTTGCGGACAGGAAACGGGAGCCCAAACAAACACAGTTTGGACTTACAGTCCTCTTCGTTCGTATGTCTGAAAGTCTGTAAACTGAAAGTTCGTAAGTAGAGGAGCGTCTGTAAATGACTCAGCTTCTTAAAAAATGCAAAAACTTTAGTGGCAACAATTACATCACACCAGAAAACTGATCATAAAGTGTCTCTGCTTTCCAAACTTTTAATTGACATAATTTTACCAAGTTTAAAAGTCAAAGAATATACGTAGTAGAGATAATCTACATTAAAATTTTTCTCTGTTATTCTCATTCTGTACAAAAATAAAAATTAAATATCCCTTTGTGTCAACAGGCATGTAAGCTTCAAACAATGTATGTGTGCATGTTCCCTCTCATAAGTAACAAGGGAAAACAAATTAGTTGGGAAGTTGAGCAAATCTTCCTTCCTTGTTTCTCCAATAAGACAAAAGAATTAAAAAATAATAGCATTCTTAAACAGTACATTCAGTCCTTTCTCTGAAAAGAAAATTTATTCCTGCCTCAGAATGAGACAAACTGGGCTACAACCGAAGCTGCTGACTGAACACAAGAGAAATGGGAGTGTCATTCAGTTAATCATATTTCAATTTTATATGTTGGGTGAAGGCTAATCACTGGCTCTCCTGTCCAGTAACAGAGGTCTTTTCAACCACAGATACAAATGCTATTCATTATGGTTTTTTTTTTTTTTTTTTACGTACGAGCCAAGATTCTCGTCTGGGACGGGGATGGACAGTCCGCGGGAGCCGTCGTCAGCCGATCAAACCTTATTCGACTAATACTATCTTTGAAGAGAAAAACGTGCATCTGCGCATCGGTTTTATGGATCAGCAGTTCTGTTTTAGGAATAGGCTGTTCTCTAAAGGGTATGAGCGATCGAAATCTACCAGAAGACCTTCCCAACCACATAAGTGCCAAAACTTGCACTGGAAACGCGACTAGTTTACGCAGAGTTAGCATTATGTTTTAACATATTTGTAAACAAACTACCCATTACACGCGCGCTAACGCATTAAACCAACGTAGCCAGCTAAACAAACGAACCACAGGCTGACAATTTAATAGTAATTTGAAGTGAATACTACTATAAGTTTATGCCGAAACTACGCCCCGTGAATCATTTACGCAGTTAACTACCCAACCGTCAAATACAATCTACGAGAAAGCGACTACTTATAATCGGTTTACATTAGCAAGTACGACAACTAACGGATTACAAATAACAGCAACAGCCCAGGGGCTACATATTACGAGCTATTTTACTAGCTACTCGTAGACTATGTTATCGCTTTTGATTACGGAACAGGTGGTTACTCAGTTCGGGGGCTAACTAGCATAGCATTTACTCCGCGGGCGCGCGCGGCGCAGTATTGAATCCCCCGCTTTCAAAGCGGGCGGTTGCACTGCGTGTCCGAGCTGGAACAGCCAGGCGCGCAGCCGACTAGCCTGCACCCCCCCTCCCCTCCGCGCGCACAAGCACACAAAGCGCGGGCCCGGCGACTACTCCGAAACTAATGGAGACCGACTCGCATAAACACACAGAGCTTCAGGCCTTGCTATCGGTCAGTCTGACACACCTCATGTCCAAAACACGGGGAAAGCGCGGCGAAGACAGCTCCAAAAAGTCCTGCACGAAGCACACCGCGCTGCGACTCGCCAGCCGCGCCGCTCTCCACGAACAAGCCGAGATACCGTCGCCGTTTCCGAGCCTCCGACACTCCGTCCATCGCTCGACACTCGGTTTCACCGCCAACTAAAGTCGAACAGCTTATTCGAAGCGCTGAAACTCCGGCAAACTCACCCCTTTGAGTCGCTTGATGAGTGCATTTTTCTGCCCGCTTTTAGAAAGACCCCGATTCTCCAAGGCGGTTTTTAAATCTGCCACCCGGAGCGAATGAAGCGGCTTCCCGTCCAGCGTAACGTCTTCAAGCTCCGCCATTTTGCTTCCCCCTCGCTCTCCAGCTCCAACTCGGGCGCCGCAGCGCCTTCCCCCGCTACGTCACGGCCAGGCGATCTCCGGAAGGGGAGGGGAGCGCGCGCCAAGCCGAGTTTGACGCGATTGCTGTCACTCACAGTAAAGCACAGATAATGTAAAGCACAGATAATTGCCCCGAGTAGATTAGCTAAACTTGCTTAGGCATCCGAGCTTTACTTGTATCAGTTTTCTTCACGTTTTAAACCAACGCCCAACACATATAATTTCAGTATTAAAAATCTGGATCGTCTAAGAGTTGGTTATTCTTGCCACGGATGTAAGTGAATATATAGTTTATACTATAAGGCAGGGTTCCCCAATTCTGGTCCTGCATGGCCAGAATTCAGCACACTGCAGATTTCCCTGCTCAAGTCTTAATCAGCTAAGGTTTAGTAGGTGTGTCTGAGCAAGGAAATCTGCAAACTGTGTTGCAAACTAGCCCAGCTAAAAAGTGTGTGGTCATTGTTTCGAATTATTTTGTTCTAGGAATCACAATAGGACAATCAGAAGGGCGAATGATAAGGAGCTTATTTCTCAGCAAAATACAAAACTGCTTTGAAATGTCCATTGTATGTATGATATTTAAATGTAAAATATCGTCAGCGATAACTAATGGCAACGCACAGCAATAATTCAAATAAATCACAGGCAGACAGTATTTTAGTTAAAAACGGGGTAGTGTATTGTTTAAAAAAAAAAAAAAAAAGTCCCATTGGCACCTATCAGAACAGACAGCTTTGCACAGATAGAGATCACAGATTCCCCGGTCGGACTCTGTGCTCCTAAACGACTCATTCATTCCATACCCACTTTAAATACTGTGTACAAAAATATCAAAAACAAATACCTGAAATAGCAGAACAATTGTCAAAAATACATTCTGGTACAAAACAAGCTACAGCATGACACTGTAACTTTTTTACATTTTAATTGTTGTGCTAATAAATTCATTGCATTAAAATCCCTGGTTATATGTGCATATATAGGGAAAAAAACTCAAAAGCCATGCAGAGAATTGTCTGTTCGAGTAATGGGAGTTACAATCAGAATGAAAAGCAACATTGTATATAAGGCTGTATGGTCTGGAGTAAGCAGATGGGATTGGCAATGAGGCTCACACAAAGCTTCACATCGGCGAAGCTATATATCAACAATGGGTTGTCTTAGTATGGTATTTTTCCAGTAGGTTCCACTAGGTGGTGCTGCACAGCAAAGCCACACAGTCAGTAGACGGGCTCCAGGATTTGACATCATTGCAAAAACGTATCGCTGACGAGAATTTAAGCCCGATGCTGCTGGACATCCACCCCAAAGTCCATCGTTAAAAATCGGATCACAGCATAAAGGTGGCGCAGGACACAAGGAAAATCAGCCGATTGTTCACTCAGGGTGGCGGCTTATGTGGCTGATCCATGAGGACAGAAAGTGAGCCGCTTTGTGTAAGTGTAGGGGACGTGCAAAGCAAGTATTAGAGGGAAGACTGATTGTGTGTCAGGTAACAGGACAGCTGAGCAGGCAAGAACAGTGTCTCTCTCATCGTGGCTGAACATGTCGGTACCACTTTACAATAAGGCTCCCGTTTGCCACTTGTAAACTTATTAATAAAAAGAAAACTGTCATAACTTGTTTAAAATTGTCTATCAATTTTATCAGTGTTACAACCTAATTAATAACCTGATTATAAACCATTCATAAACCCTTTATAAGGGTAGGGTTATTGTAAAGTGGCACCGCACGTCAGAAAGGGACAGTAAGGAAGGAACAAATAAACCCAGGTGACAAGTTTTAGTTTGGTACTGCTAGTGTGGGAAAGTCATGACTGAGAAACATGGCTCCAGCACAAACTAACACTAACATATCTCTCTCTCTCAGGAAGCACAATGGCAAAGACAGGTTAGAAGAAAGCAAAAGCCATTGTCAGGGGAACAGCCAAGTTGTGGGAACATTTTTTGTAGCTTTAAGGCAGCAAATGACAATGGATACAAGAATAATAATAATAACAACAACAACAACCCTAAAAACAGTATAGCAAAATTGTCATTAGCCTCCTTTTCTTGTATTGATTTAAAGAGAGCCCTGTGTCCTTCAGCACCAAAAGCTGCAAAGAGTGTGGCTTTGATAAGGACAAACGTGCAGATGGAGACTGAGGGACAAACGAGGGCAGAAGATAGGCTGTGCTAATGCCTGCGCTCGAAACACACCAAAGAGTAAAGGCTGAAATATTCACATTAAGAAATTTAACAGATAATTAACATAAATAAATTAAGATAAGAAACAAGCACACCAGGTACCTGCACTTACGTGGTCCTGGTTTCTAACTGGGGCAGAAGATGCTGCTGTCGCAGCACTAGTACACGCAAACATGCAGACACGCCTTCCTAGATGTGCACACTCACACAAACACACAACTGAGATTTTTCCTAGACTTTTCCATTCATCCATTGTCTTCTGGCGGACTAAAACAGATGTTACCCCATTCCAGATCACACAATTGAGAATACTACAGTTCAACAAAACCATAAAAAAAAAAGGTGGGGAAAAAATTAAATCATGATATTTCCGCCAGCCTCTGCAGCAGCCCTGAGAAGCCCGCGGCATGCTGGGATAGCTCTGCTACCCGGTCCACCATTTCCTGTGTGGCAGGGGCTGATGGGTAATTCTGTGCCGCCCCCTTTGTTGCCACCACAACAGCCTTTAAGGCTTGACAAAGTCGACCTCCAGATGTAGTGACCTGCAGAGAGATGTACAGAATTTTCATCTACAACCAAATCAAATAATGGATCAGAACATTTCAAACCTTGAATACGTTAAGTTGTAGTTAGGATTTACTGCAAATTGTAAAAGGGCAATGAAAACAGTGGTGAGCGATATGGCAATTTACCATGACCGGTTGCATTTGTATCCACAATAAGTATTTCAGAGTCATCGCAAGAATCGCTATACAGCACTACTAAACACTATTATAATAAGAGAATAAACTGGCATACGACTATTAAACGATACCTATGTGTCTGGTGGCTGCAACAGTACAACAAAACAGGTGAATACGAAACAAAGCAATTTCTGCCTGTATAACATATCAGTATTGTCTGTATCTCACTACTTTGCCAATTATCTGTTTCAGTGGATCTGAACTTAGTCCTTAAATCTTGAACTAATAGCATAATCGATCTGTTATAACCAGTTAGTTAACTTTAAGCCAACTTGATATACCATTAGACTGCAAAAGTCAGTTTCTTTTATTTCACATACCTAAGTGCATTATTATAAAGCCACATAAAGTGTTTCTTTGAAGGACAGAATTGCTGGTTAAGTGGTTAAATTGTTAATTAACATTAGCCTACTACATACGTTCCAATTTGGTCTGTAAGCAAAAAAAAATAGTGAACTATATTATGGACCATTATAAAGAATTTTGTCTACCTTGCCCATCCCCAGTTCAAAATATATTTCAGAAAGACATGCTGCATTAAATTGGAATTTAGAACAAACCTTTGTCCTAAGGTCAGGAGAAGTAAGCAGGCGAGAAAGCGTGTCTCCTATGAAGACCAGCTTATGCGCCGTCACAATCAGACTCTTCCCCCGGGAAACGAAGACGCGCGGTGGCTGGTTCCCCTGCACGCTGGTGAAGAGGGCGTCTATGGAGTCGGCCAAGCAGGACAGGTGAGACAGGCTCTGGGAGGAATAGAAGGCCAGCAGCTCGGAGTCCTCCAGGGAGAGAGAGACGGGGAGTGGTGGGGAAGGGCTTGACTGGAACATCAGAGGAGAAGGGAGGAGGCGCCAGGTTAATCAAAGGATATTCAGGAGCAAAAATCATTCACATGAAACAGAAAATTAATGTCGGAAGCAGTGTTTCCCAAGCAGGTCCTCGAGGACCCTCCCAGCTCCCTACCAGTCCACATTTTTTGCAGTTTGCTCTGTCTATAGTTACCATGATGATCTGGATTTTTCCAGCATTATAAGGACAAATTTCAGTCCCACTTAACATTCAGTGATGGAACATGGCCTATTAACAGATTTGATTTTGATTTTAAAACTAAGCTGATCTAATGACAACAAATGGCAGTTATCAACGACCATGACACAGCCTTCCGTCTCTGAGATGTCATAAAATTTTATGGAAATGAACCTGAAAATCTCACAATATCCCTGTTGAGGCCTGCCTTCCATCCATGCAGTAAAAATTTATAGCACCTGAAAGTCCAGACAAACTAGTTTTCTATAGACATAACCATCAGTATCAGCAAGCTTTGTTATTTTAATGTAAGACATTAAATGACATGTTTGAACGTGAAATTATGTAGCAGTTGACTGATCCTTGAACAAGTCATCCTTGGCCATAATTATGATAGGCCATTACATGTCTGATGCTAAAATCTTCATTTGGAATTTTTGGTATGTGGCTGTACGCTAGCTCAAAAAATCAGAACCGAATCATTGAGAAAATATGCAAGATTATATTTCAGTGACAACCAGATTTAGGAAGCCTGATTTCAGCTCTGAGCGTCTTTGTTTAAATTTTCTGCAAGCATCTTCAGATGTTTGAGAAACGAGGTCCAAAGTGGGGCTGGGGAGTGTTACCCTCTGCTCTGTCGTGGTGGGGTCAGTTACAGGAGGGTTGGTCGATGTCTGAATGACTGGAGGCGGATCGGGCTTCCCCTGGTGGGGGTCAGGAAAAAAATATTAAATTTGACTTTGACATGCGGACACAGAGGCAGACAGACGCGCTGATATACATGCAGATGGAGCGTCTCTTCGCTGACCTGTAGCTTTACGTATCCCACGCTGTCTCCTCCAGGGCAGGGCAGTGGGGCGACACTGAGGCCGATGCCTGCGTACTCGTTCCCCAGCTCCTCTCCCTCTCCTTCTTCATCAGAACATGGGTGAGGAGGGGCCACAGGGGGCAGGGGAAAGGAGGGAGGCGGTGGGGGAGGAAGAGGCCTCTCCTGGATCCAGCTGCCCTTGCGACCACCCATCCCCACATTAAGGGGCTTCACCTCAGCTACAGGTAATGCGGGCAACGGTCTCCGAGACAGGGACTCCTGGGACGGGAGGCGGGGCCGGCCTGACGGTGGAAGGGCCTGGCTCTGCAGCAAAGCGGCTGAGTCCTCCAGAGCCCGGCGAACCAGTGAGAGCTGTGCTTCAGTGAGGGCAGAACTGCATGCAGAAAGCATGGGGAGGAGGTCTGAGAGGTGGGTCCAGGCCTGATGGAGGGGTGGGGGAGCATCTGCTGCCTGGCAGGCCTTCCAGACAGACAGAATCTCCGACAAGGAGGTGGCCAGCTCCCGTGGGGGAGTAGAGGGGGAGGCGCAACCCAGAGCTGACTGGATGAGGGCCGAGAGAGAGGCCCTCCCTTGTACTTCACAAGAGCCCGTGCTGGACACAGAAGCCCGGCGGGTCGCCGACATGGGGATGTCGAGGCTTAGGGCAGGCATGTCGTAAATTCCACAGTCTCGATCAGACCCCTCGGTGGGGACCTCCGGACAGGGAGCCCCATCTGTCGGGGCATCGGGGATGCGTTTCCCTGGCCCAGGAACACAGTAAACCTCAAGACTCTGCAGCTCATATCCCGGGCCATCAGGAACCTCACTCGGTGTTGCCGAAAGGCCCGGGAGGGTAGGCACACTGTAGACGTCGTCATCGGGCTCAGGTGGAGCCACAAGGCTTGCTGGGATATTGTAAGTGGGCTGCTGGAGGTCAGGGGTCACAGACAGATTAAGGGTGGGAACATCGTAAACCTGTCAAAGGAAAAGGGATAATTGAAGGGGTTGGAAAGAGACAAATTATTCTAACACTAGCTATAGAACTTTACGCTTTTATTTGAAAAGGACATGACTGACGGAATGGGACTTATTTGGAAATAAAGGTCTTCTTTTTTCAGGAAGGACTGGTTTGTAGTGATTTTTGGACATGGTCATGATTTTGTTTACTAATGGAGACTATTCAAGGAAACAAAATAAAGATGTTGATGGAAAAAACAATGGGTGTAACGTTTGAAATTGACAAAGAATCCACACTGTCAAAAGCCCCATTAAAAAGGGCAATGAACTGACAGGCAAGCAGTATTTTAATATTTTCAAACAAGAGTCAAAGGTAAAGTTGTGAAAACAATATATTAGTATATGCTACTCTGCAAACTGGGAGACTTTGATTTCCAGAATAAGCCATATTCAGCAAGCCAGACAGACAGGTGTGGAACAGCCCAAGTACACGGAGGGGGGCAGCAGGAACAGGTGCAGGCTAATTACAGCAGGAACAGATGACACCTGGCCAGACGCTGACCTCTGATCCCTGGTTGCCGTGAGGGGGGAGCATGCGGGGGGTGTTGTAGATGCTGTCGTCGTTTTCAGGGAGTGCCGCAGGAACGGCGTGCTGCCACCGGCTTGCAGGAGGAGTGTCATACACCTTGGGGCAAACAGATAACACCCAAAAAACTATTGTGAATTTTGAAATATGTTGAATGCTGAGCCTTGTAAACAGCTATAAGCTATTCCTATTCTAACACAAGATTTCATACAACATTTTAGTGACCATTAACTGCTTAAGGAGAATCAAATTAAATGATTCTTTCCGCAACCAGTCAAAAACTGAAAATAAAGCACAAAGTTCTTTCTTTTCAAAACCAAGGAGAATAAGTGAAATATTTTGCTAACAGAAAAAGACTGATGCATTATAACCGGCTGAACATTCCAGCTTACATTAGCTGTATTGGATTTGTAATTCTAAGCTTCCTTTTAAGATCCATTACATTCAAGCAGAGCAAACGCCGGCCAGCTCCATTTCAGGATCACATGACCGTCTTCATCTTGCTCTTTCCTTGATTCTTACCTGGTTGTGAAGGTTCTCGTCGTCTGGCTCCTCATACTCTCCTTCTTCACGGTCCCTCTTTATATTCAGGTTTATCTTTTTCGTATCGCTCTCCTCATTCGCCTTTTCATCCCTCCGCCCCTCCGGCTTGTTTGGGACGACCTGACGCGGCCCCTCCCCCTGCTTACCCTGCTGCGGAGCAGAATGAGACTGAGGAGTGTCCTTCCTGGTAACACCCCTAACCGGGGGTGCAGGGGGAGGTGGTTTGCGGGCAAAGTTGGGAGAGCCTTGGACCCTGGCTACAGCTGTCCTGGGCAAGACTGGAGAGCTCCTTGGGGGGGTCTGAGGCAACCTGCCTCGGGCACTGGGAGGGGTGGAGGGCAAACTTTGCCCCCCTGGCATTTTGTGTAGGACCTTAGGCTGTGCCCTGGGGGACCCCTCTCCAGTGAAGGGCATGAGTCTTTGCTGTGCCAGTCCAGTGGCAACAGGCGCAGGAGTCGCTGTATTGTCCCCAGGGAGCTTGCGTCCATTTTGAGGCGTTTTGGGCAGACCCCCTACCAGGGTGGGGGTCTGATACAAGCCTCCTGCTTCCTGTGGTAGTTTGGTCTGTGTAGTGAGGGCAGTCCCACTGCAGAGTGACAGCTGGCCACTCCCCCTCCTGGCTGCAGCAGACACAAGACCACCCTGGGGGGGGTCCAGCACTGCACCACCCGTCGGGGTCTGGTACACATCACTAGGCGGAACACTCACGCGAGGCACCAGGTAGCAGCCATCGGAGTTACCCACAGCCACCACAGCTTCCCGCGGGATGTGGTACATTGCCTCCGAACCCCCCAGCTCCACCGCAGATCCCTCTGTGGTTGCCCTCGGGACACCACAGGGGCTGAGGTACACAGCCTCGGGTGCGAGCCCTCCCTGCAGCCTGTGTGCTGTGGGGGTCTGGTAAAGGACCTGCTGTTTGGGACTTCCCGATTCTGATCCCCGTCCTCGAAGCGACGGGGAGCGGGCTCGTCCTGTGGCGCACACATCCCATTCGGGTCGTGGACGCGTGCCAGAACTGGAGCGGGACCTGGGCCGGCCCTCTCCACGGCGCAATGCAGCTGCAGCTGGCCCACTTAGTGCGGGAGGTGACTGATAGACCACTTCCTCACCAAGCCTGGGCCCCTTAGTGGAATCCATAGGGGTGGGCCGAGGATGTGGGCCAGGTGAGAGGTACACGGATTCCTCACCATGAGGGCGGGTCACCGTGGGGCAGGAGGCGGGGGTGGAAGTTTCAGCAGAGGCACTGGAGCAAGGCTGGGAGGTGTTGAGGAGGCGGAGCCGGTTGGCGGGGGCTATCCCCTGTCTGCCATGCAGGGAGCACAGCCACCATCCTGGTCCCCCCCCCTCCTGGTCCAGCACCATCAGGATGTCGCCCTTCCGAAATGCCAGCTCCTCTGGGCTCTCAGCTGCATTGTCAAACAACGCCTTTGCCAACGCCGTCTGGAGGGTAGGTAACAAATAGTCAAATAAAAAAAAGAGTCATCAGGGAAAACATCAAATCATCCGTTACGCAACTGAACAGTGAAAACAATGTTACTGGTGGCAAATGTCCTATTACCCAGAATGCAGTTGCATCTTCTTTGCCTGTTATTATGCTCAAGCCCATAAGTCTTTAAAAGTGAAAGTCAAACTAAGGGAAGCATTACATTAATAATCACATAATAGGAGACAGAATTCCTACCTCCCTCTCCATCACACGCACTCATAAAATGTGGGGCAGGCAGAAAAAAAAAGAGCCATTGTCCAGGAGTAGTTAAACCACTTGAGTGTGAGAGAGAATGGGGTGTAGGGTAGGGGGGAGTGGCCGTGCAGTACGGGGCACCGCAGCTAGAGGAGGGAATGCCGAGATGGAGAGAGCAGGACAGTGATCTGGCCTTGCCATGTGGTGTGGGAGGGTGGGTGAAAGATTTAAACAGCATGGACATTGTCAGTGACTGACTAAGTGAAGGCCATGAGCACGCAATACCATACTGCCGGGGGAGGGGGGGGTGTCATTTTTCCACAGTCTTGCTGAACAAGCAGAAGAATGAAGTGAAACATTGACATGTCATTATTGTAACCGAACTAGGGTAGACTGGAAGGGGATAACTTTATATTTTTATCCAAAAAAAATAAATAAAAAACAGTCACAAGGCTAGTACGGAAATCCGATCTGCCATCAAGCAGAAATAGCAATAAAAAATCTATATGAAAAAGACACATTGCAGCTATATTTAAAATATGTAAATTAAAGAGGCCTTAGTAGGCCAGCAAGCAACTTAGCCAAACACGTTTTTAGGTCACGTATTGCATAGCTGCTAGCTATTGATGTATATAATACGCTTAACACTTAATTTTGGACGTCATTCGGTTCCACTGGGCAAATCACTGCTGACAAAGATTAATGTTCTCTTATGACACTTTAACAGAGTTAACAGAAAACCACTCTCTTAAAGAGCCAATTTCACGAAAAGTGCTGCTCAAACATATTCTGCGTGCGTGCTGACTGTACGCCAGAGGGTCTGAGCAATGCGGAGTCGGAAGCGGCTCAGCTGTGGATTACTGCTGGTGTGGAGCAGGGCCAAAACATTCGCAGAATGCCGGGACTCCGACGGCAACGGAAACACAAGCCTTTCGCGGCGCAGTTGGGTAGAGTATGACAATGGAAGGGGGCTTATTTACATCGTCAGGAATAAGGGGGAAAGCGTGATATAGGTGAAGAAAAGTGAAAGTGAGACAGAGATAAGCCAGGGCTGTTGTATGTGTCCTTGTTTTAAGGCTCCATTGTCAACCCTTATGCTTCTCTCTGACTCTTCTCCCCCCCAGGGAAGAAGCTTCACTTGGGCCAGCTGAGACCCTCTGCCCCACCCCCATCAACAGCTCCAGAGAAAGGGAATAAACGAGGGAAAAAGGGGAAGTGAAAGGAAAACACGTGGGTCCTCCCACAACACTGCCATTGGAATAAGCTGGTATGGATCATCCCAGCAGCATCACCTGGTTACTAGATTTAATACTCATCATCCAGGGCGTCTGCAAATGTTGTTAGCTCAGGTTATTTGTCAGTGCATGGAGCAACTAATGCTGACCACAATGCTCAAGGTATTTGTCAACGCTGACTGCTACTAGTGGTAACTTAGCAGCTAAAAACCAGTAGTGACCAGCATTCTGACTGCTGAAGCAGTTGTCGTGCAGAACCCACTGCCGTTCCCCATTTAGTACAGCCATGGGATAAAACAGGTGCAAACAAGGTTGAGAGAGGGCTTGCCGACTTCGACAGATATGCCGACGTGCAAGGAAGCAGAGAGACAGAGCTCGAAAGCGGTGGAGCAAGTATCCTAAATCCGAGGTCAGAGACAACCAAGCGCAGCGAGGCACTTACCGACAAGGACATTGCGAATTCTTCTTGGAAACAAAGCTCCTCAGGGTCAGTTCTGTTTTCCTGAAGATGACAGTTGGGCTCATCCAAACACCATTGGATCCATCTGAATGGAGAAAATGGTTCGATTACACTTCACCAGGCCAAGGGGGAAGCTCGTTTCCCAACTGGCATCACCAAGTATTTTCACATCTTTGGTTAACGTCATGGATCCACCAGCAGGACACGTGTTTTATGTATTTAGCTAGGGAAGAAGCCAAAGGACATTAGTCTAACTAGGGGCATCACTGGCAGGTGTATAAAAGTTATATTAAATATGCTTGACAAAAGCCCTGTTCATATTCGTCGGTTTTAGAGCAGAACATGCACACATGTAAGAGATTAAATAAAATAAATAGTTATGTCGTCACTACTGGTGACACACATGTATATCCAGTCCAAACATGACTTACAACATTGAACCTGTTTTACCTGTTAATCTCGGGGAAAACGCATGAATTCCCGACACACCTGTGATATTCGGGAAAAAAAAGCTGATCTACTTCTACCAGGATGTCAAATTTAAATCCAGGGACGAACGAAATGTGAATCTATAAACATGATTTGGCTCTAATAAAACCATTTGACGGAGTTATTAATGTAAAATCTAACTCCTCGATTTAGTTTGACGGAAAATATCGACTAATATCTAATAATAATGATGATAAAATAAAACAGCCATTTCCCGTTACGAGCAATAAATTAGCCAAATGCAAATTCACCAAAGGCCGGGTCAGTTACTGTATACGGCGGCGTAATCTGTATGATGTTCATTTTCCATCTACAAATTATACAAATTACTTTATTAAAAGACTGGCATAGATCCTTGCTTTATGATAAGAATTCACTGAACCAGTGAAATCCACACAGGAACGGAAATCAACACGACCTACTTACTGAGAACTCCAAACACTGGATACTTTATTGTTATTCACTAGCAACACTGGGAACGACATGCCTTTCACCCTCCTTGGTTGTAAGACAAATTTCTGGTTTTGTACTGAGGTCGCTTTAGACGCAAAGCAACCACGGTCCCCTTACCGATCTCTCCAAACAACCGATTAACAATCAAAAGCCCTCAAAATCAGCCACGTTTTCGCGTCTACCGGCCCAGATTTAGCCTCCCTAACGCAAGAGCAGAATCGGGCTTACGAGCCCAATTAAGGATTTTTTAAAAATCACTTCTCACATATAATTTATAAGAAGTGCAAAATGTAAGAAACATGACCGCATTTTCTGGCATCAAGGACAGAGCTTTGAGGTCTTGGTACACAAAAGCAGGGTTAAAGCGAACGATTTCCATATTTTCCATTGGCTAATTCATTAAAAGCACACACACACACACACACACACACAATTTTGCCTACCGCTTGATAAAATACAATCGTGTCAAGGGCCGATCTGCTTAAAAATCGCTTTAAGAAAAGCCATCCATATGCCAGGGGAAGAATCCATGATTGGCGACGTCTCCCCCTTTCTCCTGCTGCTTTCTTTCTTTCTTTCTGTCGTTCCCCTGCCTGCGTCCGCTGGCTTGCACGGAGCGCGGTGTAGAATTACAGTAGTGGAGAGAGATGGAGCCAGAGGCGCAGTCCCAATCCCGTAATACGGCGCCCTGGGTGCGCCCGCTTTTCATGCATTCATGCAAGGGGTTTTATTCAGGACAGTGGCGACCTAGTACAATAGCAAGCTTTATCTTAACCAAGGGCGTCGATCCGAAGAACAGCCCAAGGAAAATCTATTGGTGTGTTAATTTTAGCTCGAATAAAAATTGCTGTCTTTTTCCTGCAATAACAGTGGTTTTTGTGGATCCTATACGATACATGATTGCTTAATTTCAATTTCGCGTTTTAAAAGCGAGTCATAAAAGGAAGTCAAGGCTTAGCATAAACAAAATATTTTACCTGTATATATGCTGTAATACGGTAGTTACGTTCCGCCATATTTCGTCCCATAAATAGCCCCTAGATTAAATTTATATTTGAGGTAGCCGGTTTGCAGTAGGCATATATTTTCCAACAAAACTACATTTGTGATATTACATTATAGATGCATAACCACCAAACACTCAAAAATATATATTTTATACTGTTCAGAAAGTGGTTGGGGTCATTCATGTTTATTAGCAATGCTGACAATCCCTTTTCTTGATCAAAGTCCGAAACAAATAATGGTTAAAAATATACCATTTAGAAAATCAAGAAATTGCAACAAGCACCACGTGGATCAAGAACAGGGAATTGCTTGTAAACTGTATATTCGAGGGATAACAGTAGATATTACAGCAACATAATAAAAACCACAATTATATTTTACTGTCGATTTACCGAGATTATATGATAAACATGTTATACCAAATAGTTATAATAAACATTTCAACCAAATTAAATGTGAGATTTTGCCTATTAGATTTGCAGTCCCTGGAAACTGTCGATATTTGCTAATGCTAGTCTCTTAAATGACTAACTGCATGGGTGTCTCTGTCAAGCACTGGATAACCACGTAGACCAAATTAAAACGATTTGTTTCGATTACGGGTTTCTCGTTTGGTTTCCAAAGCAATGACCACCCCTCCGTATAGCCAGGGGCGGACTGGGACTAAAAAACAGCCCTGGACTTTCTCCCAAATAGGCCCACCAGCTGGACCTGTACAAACAGCCACTAGCAGGGTTCTCATAATAATATACTACATAAAATATTCACGCCAAGTAACATGTCAACCAGTGGTGATGATTGGGGCTGTATTTATTAAAGTAACCT